GAGAGAGAGAGAGAGCTATTAGTTGCATCTTCCTCACCTAAGTTTCAGTGTTCAAGTTTCATCAGCAACCTCGCATCTGTACTCATGCAAAGAACACTTAGGTTACGTGAGCTTGTGGGAGGAAGCAACCTTGTGCATCGTCTTTACATTGATACACAAAGTACTAATTAGCCAGATTTACCGAACAAGATTATAGGATGGCTTGTCACAGCTTCTTCCTGAACTGATAGAAACCCTTGCTTCAGATCTACTCACCAAACATTTGATACTGACCATTCTACCTATTTGTGATTGCTGACAATTTCATTAATGATTGAGATAAAACCTCATGAGAGCAAAAAGATCATCCTCCGAAACTACACGAGAAGAGTTGAGGAGAAGAAATAGATTGGAAAGATGACAGAAAGATTTGAAGGAGTCGCATTAGAACAAACACATGATGATCATGTATTGATCGATATATATAGATGGAATCTAATGGCGGTGTCAGAATGCATGGGAATCAAGTAAGGCTAACCTGGGACGTTGGATGTGAAGAGGCCGGGACTTCGGTGCATGCGTGCACTGCAGAGAAGGGTTCCGGTGACGAGCACGGTGGACAGCCTCTCGTCTCCATATCCTGCAACCCGGACGAGCTCGGCGTGCGCGAGCTGCATGGCCGTGCCCTCGCTCATCACCGCGGCGCATGGGGTGGGGAAGACGAAGAGAAGAACAGCCATCAACACGGAGACGCTTTGGAATTCGTGCTTCCACACCATCCTTGTGCTCTCCCCTCGTAGTTTCTTCCTCTACTCCTTCCAAAAAGAAAGAAGGGATCACTACTACTAGTTGGCAATGCTTTCTCCCTTGCTTTGGATTTTGAGGAGGAGATCAGTCCCCACGCTGAAGGGTTGATCTTAGATGGCTGTCGACTACAGAAATGGCTTTCCTTTGATTGTAATTTACGAGAATGGCAACGGTTTGCTGACGATGGTGATGGATGTTCTACAGCCGTACGTATGTGTAAAGACTTGAACATATGCTTCTCTTTGAATGTCTCATGTTGTATTCCTCTGGTGGTAATATCCATATTAAAGGACCAGTCACTTGACTTCCATCACCTTGATTTACTTAAAGGTTTTTGCAATAAGATATTTCTTCTTAGTACCTAGTATCTAGAAGATTTTATATTATATTATATATATATATGATTAATTTTAAAAAAAAACTAATATATTTGATAAATTTATATAGAGCGTCCAACTTTTAAAAATTCTTGCAAAATACCATTTGTTCTCTAAACCGGTAGTTTTAGCCCCAACCCCCATCAAAATTATCTTCATCATTATTTTTCCTTTCCTTTGCCCTACCAAACATATCGCAAATCTTACCAACTCTTATCGAACACATCCTTATTCGTCTCAACCTCATGATAGGAAGGAATTGGTACAGAGATGACAATAGCCCTCGTGTGAGGAAAGAGGGGGCGTGAGGGCTGTTGCCACCTTCGTTAACCCCACTAGCCCCCCTAAGACTTATTATCACCTTTGTGACCCCTCCTTCCTCATGTGAGGGCTACGGACAATGATGCTGATCGCCTATACAATGGGTGAAGATGGTGAAAGCAAGATAGTTGGTTCAATAAAGGCCAAGGGCAAAGACGACAATAGATCCTAGAGAGCAAAGGAGTCGAGAGGTGATGATAGTGGCGGAGGTAGTGTAGGGGCACTGCAAAGCAAAGGCAGGTTTAACGAGGGCCAAGAGTAAAATTATCATTTATGAAAAAAATTAATGCTTTGTAAAAATTTGTCAGAGATAAGAGTTTTTTTTTTATTTACATGCATGCATATATATATATATATATATACATATATATATATATATATATATATATATATATATTCCAGAATCAGCTTCAATTTTTTTCCTATATTATTCAGGATATTGTATTCTATTCATAATTTATTTCACACCATTAACTTCATTTAAAAAAATTAATCACAAAAGGATGAATTACTATGCAAATTGGTATGCCAACAATTCAAAGATCCCGTGGGAACATGTAAGAGTCTTAATATATAATGGTCACCTTCATAACATTCTCCTACACTTGGTTCGATATGGCCACCTTGATAACTTTGAATGGAGTTGTAATATGCACATAGCTGTAATTGGAATCCCGTCTCCATATGAGTATCCTCTCAATGCAGAGCTGAGCTTTCCTTAGGCACAATCACCATGGATTCAACCTCTTCCAACATAACTCCTTCTTCTTCTTCTTCTTCGTATTTTGTGATATCTTAAAAAGGAGTTGTGCCCCCCAACAAATCTTCTAATCTTTTGTTGGAATTTAATTATGTCAAATGATTTCTTTCAATTATATCACTCTCTTCTTGCAAATTCAAACGTAGGCAAACACTAAAACGTTACATGCATACCTTGGAAGGAAAGTGATCCTTTGCCGATTACATTTGTTGCTTAGAAGTGAAAGAAAAATTAAGATCGAAGACAAGGGTAGTCAAGTAATTGCATGGGAAAGTTCTACAGCAAGTCAAACGAATCAAGAACAAGGCATAAGAGCTCAATGGTGCTTTACGTTAAGGTAGTCCAACCTCCCAAGGAAGGAAGGATATGGGAGGCATAAAGATGGTAGCAAAGAGCAAATGGTTGGTTGCCAAACTCCCCCATAAACAACAAGTAGTTTATCCATGTCCCCTAGTTTTCTAGTCTACTCTCAACCATCTATCTCACGATGGTGGGTTGTCAATTCCTACAAGTTTCCATATTCCATCCTCTTAGAGTCTTTGTTAGCACGACGACCCACTTAAGATACAAAAAACTAGCTTAAAACTCATGTCGTATGCTGGCAACAAATCCTAAGAAGTACTTGCAGAACGACATCTTCGAAGAAAAAATTTACCTACCATGCAAGAGGAAGAACTAAGTGTCTTGTTTATTAGTAGATTTGGTTGACCTGATGGTCAACGGCATGATGTACATGACTGACCTTTGAAGGCAAACACACAGGCTGATGACCATATGAAAGCACCATACAGTAATGATCGTCAATGCATGATGATGAAACATGTACATTAGAGATATATGTGTTATAAAGTTTATTTGGTGAATTTTCAAAAAAAAAAGTGCCCATTTTTCATAGGAGTCTACCTGTGGGTAATCCTATGGACCAGTGTATAGATGAATCATTTCAATTCTTTAGTTATAATATTTTGATAGAGGTATCAAAAACATATCCTAACTAAATAGAAAAGTCTCACAGCTTAGTTGTTCCTATTCCTAAACTAATAAAGATATATGTTTCACACCATATATTTCTGCAAGAGTTTGTTTTAAGTTGATTGTCTTACTTATAATATTTTTGAATAGATTTATTTAAAAATATATGGAGAACACTATAAACTTATTTAAAAATATTCTAATTAATATATGTATTTCTATATTTGACTTAGTTATATTATTTAAAAATAGATTTATGATGCTTTATTGGAGGTACCAAAAATACTGTAAAGTTACTCAAAATTACTATATCTGATAATAAATTTTATACATTACTTGTCTTAGGGTATTTCAAGGCTTATGACAAATAGGTGGCATCTTTTGAAAAATACGAAAAGGGATAGTACCGCAAAAAGA